CGAGTTGCCATGTACTTCGGTCCTCGAAATCCGCAGATTATGAATTACTACGTCGGGCTTGGCAAACAGTGACGGCCGGCAATAAATATTACGACGTCGGATAATATTTTTCATGTATTCTAGTCGTAAATGTCCACTGTAACAGAGTCGCAATTCAGAACAATGTAGATGTAAGAATGAGGACATATAAAAGATATATAGGTAGAAGTAAATTAGCTAACTCACATTAATCTCAATATTTACATGTAGGTATATAAAGTCTAGAGTTATTACGATACTAACTTATATTTCTAGTCGTAAAAAAGAAAATTATAATATTAATTAAAGTTAATATATTATATGTATATCTATCTTATATAATATATACCTATTCTTACAATTGTTATCATAGATTTTTTTTATTTTGATATTTATTCGATACGGACAGTCTACGTTGCAAGTTACTTAACAAGAGTGAAATAAAATTTTAATAAGCAAAAATAAAACAATTGTAAAAAAACTTCATAAATTCCCGTGACGTAATCTCATTAAGAGGAAAATTTGCTAAAATAACGTATCTTCTCGGAGGCTGATAAAGTTCGTTTCGTACTTGTCAGCTAACAATCTTGCAAAGCTGTATCGATGTCGTAGCGATCTTCCAAGAACGCATCCACAATGTCGATTAGATTTTTCACGCTAATGGAGCTCTCCTAGGGACGCCATCGTGGCGGGTTAAGTATTAAAATGTTCAGAGATGCACCAGGGAGATGGCTTGGAAAAAAGTGCAAAGTACAAAACGTTTTTGCATTATCCGTCGCAGCTCTGAAGTTCTTATCGCGGTTCACTGTGCAATTACGCAAATGCGCCTTACCGGCGACGTCGATGTGTATGGTAGCCGGTATACACAGCATATATAAGGTGTACTAAAAGGCCTGGATTTTTAAGAATTTCCTGACAAACTTGCCATTTAATGTTTTTTTTTCTCGTTAAAAATTCCGTTAGAGAATTTTTCAAATTTGCAACGTTAAATAAAGATTAAAAAAATTTTCATAAAATTTTAACATAAAGGAGCGATCAATTTCTCTCAAATTTATTGGAAATGCCTGTGGCTGAGAGATACATTACTATTACGTACAAAAAAAAATATGAAAGAAATACATAAATTATCGTTTATCCTTTTTTAACTTTTAAAAATGATAATTGAAAAATTAACTTTAATATAAAAATACAAATTGATAATTCATTATTTTGCAGTGTTAATGCATAAGACATATGTGAGATGTGGAGAAAAAAATTATTTGCGCATATTTAAACAGGGATAAAATTAAAATTCTATAAGTAAAAAAAACTGATTTGAATAATTGAAACTACAATCGTAAAATACTTTATATTCCTGCATATTATTTATCGAGATATGAACGTCGTTTCCGTTGAGCTGATTTTCACAAGTGATTCCAGCTCCGATTCACCCACGCATCGCACATTTTGTCACTTCGCAATTTACAATGCGATATATGCGTCCGATAATGAAATCAACCAGTGACGTCACTAACGACACGCAACCGACGCGACGATAGCACGATTTCGCTTTTCGCTTTATCGACAATTTAATTAATTCGCTCATTCCCGTTCGACCTTTACACGTCATTCATTTAATGTCGATCGGCAATTTTAATTTTACAATAGATTGATATTCACTTTAAAAAATAACGTATGTGACATCCACTTTTTAAGAAAGTAATACAAAGAATACTAATTACTCTACGATAGAGAATAATCTTTCTTGGCTAAGAATAATACATGACTTGTCTATTAATTAGCAAATGAAATATCTCTGCTAACTCATTACGTTAAGTAAAATCTAACGAAAAATCTCTGCTTTATATGATACATTCGGATTACGTTTATCAAAATGTCGATCAAAAATAATGGGAATAATAATAAATAATAATAAATTGGATTAAAAAATTATAATCCCTTTCGCATTAAACATCATTCGTGGATGTTCTAATTCGAATCTAATAAGTATCTAAATTTATGCTTAATATTCCTACCCACGTGAATGCAGTGATTAAATCAATTCCAGGGAGCTCTCGTAGAATGTCTGAATTTAATTGAAACCGCGAAACCAAACGGTTAATCTTAATCCAATTCTCTGCAAGGACAAATGCAATATGGCGCGCTATATTCTATTAAAAATGAATGTTACAACGATTTTTTATCATTACAATTTATACAAAAACGAGAAAAGATGAAAAGTATAACAATATTTCGTATCAATAATCCAATATTCGTGATTAAGTATTTCCGTATCAATACAGAGAAAACAAGCGGTTATCATTGCTATATGATATGAAATTTTATTATTGATTCCGTTTACGTATTGTGAAACGTTGTGAAATTATAATCTCTAGCTTTTTACGTAAAGAGGTCAAATTTAAATGGAAACCCGCAAACATTTCATGAGAAGTCACATTATTGTTTCCGCGCGAGCGCTTAATATTATATTCATCAATCCATTACACCAACTGAGATATTATCCACTGATTAACATATTGCAATTAATGTATTGCGATCGGCCGTTGGTGTATCAAATTACTGCATATAACATCTGATACGTATTACATATAAAATGATATTAATACTAATTTGCAATTATTTCAGCATTATTTCATCTGCGATAAAACCATGACTTGAATGTAGTACTTAAATAATTAATTTTTATAATTTAATATTATAACTATTATAATATTTATTTGGGTAGTTTTGTAATGAGAGCAATCTGATCACTACATTGTGAGCAAAATCAATTTGTAAGATATATACAGTTTTTCTGTTGTCATGCAATGAAATTACTCGTCTTGTAATTAGTGACGTCCATATCGAAAAATGACGGATTCGAACTCGATTTAAGTGCGTGTTATCGATTGCGAGAAACGAGATGAGTTCTCCAGTGTCCCCTTTACAGTGAAAAAATCAAGAGAACGGAATTCAAGAGCACAGAAAATTCCGAGAATAATATCGTTTTGAGAAATTCTTCAGTTTCGACATAATCATATTAAATTATATTAAAATTCAAATGAATTTTCTTTGCTTGATATATAATAAATTCCTAAAATATATGAAAGGCACTTTCTCTTCATCAATAGAAAGAGAATTTGTATTGATTTGTGCACGTTTATGTCAAAAATACACGTCCGAGGATAATTTTCGATTTTCAATTAAAATATTTATCTGTACAGTTTATCGATCGTATGAACGAGTAGTGGCGATGCCTGAGAATATGTCGGCAAGCTCCGAACTACCCGTGATTCTTATTCTGCTCCAGCAGTTATCGGATCGTATCGACCGTGAATAGGGAAAGCTCTGGTCACGAATAGGTCGTGGGAGTGCGAGGGACGCTCCTGGCGAAGGGTACATACCGCCCAGGAATCGACAGGACGAGCATAATTCAAGAGGTTTCGGCTGCCGCACCGCTCAGAATTCCGTGTGACGTATTTAATGGGGAATCGGCGGTAGCAGCGGCGGCGACGGCGGCGGCGGCGGCGGCGGCGGCGACGGCGGCAGGGGCCTTAATCAATGTCTGGTACTTATGCGAAAGGTGCCGATGACGCGTGCGCACCACCGACTGGGACTTCTAATGAGGAATTGCCAATTAGTCTCAAAACGCCGCGATTTCGCGAGAGGCGCGTCGACTCGCCTCTTCACGAATGGCCGTGTCGTTCGTTTAACGGAGAGAAAAGAGCGACGATTTATTCGTATTAAGCGTACAAAAATCCGGTAATGAGGCCCGGTCTTTTATCTTTTCCATAGAATGGAGAAATTAAAAGAGAATCGTATAGAATCTCGTATTTACTCCCGATATTTATCTCTATAACGACCGGCTTCGGGTATCAATGACGTTAATTAAAAAAGAAATCACAATTGCGCGTTAGCTATGAAAATTAAAATAAAGATAGACATTTTATTAAATTAAAATTTGAATTAATCCAATTTGGTAATAATTATAAAAAGTATTAGTATATTTCTACGTATTTATATATTTATTATTATTATTTATATATTTAGATTTATAATTTCTGTCTTTTTATAACTACATTGTACTTATTACATTATTTAAAGCAAGTGTCTATATCCGTTGTCTCCGTGTAAAAGAAAAAGCGTCGATTAAAACAACTATTCCAGTCACAATTAATAACAATTCTATATCTTCAATAGATAAAAAAGATATTTATCTACACATTCCTTTTTCAAGATGATTTTTTAGACAAAGAAAAAACATATTCTGCATATCATTCTACTTATTTATCAAATAAAATAAAAAAGTAACGATAAAAGCGTATTTTGCAGTAATATCTTTCGGTCTTATGTAATATTATTTTAAACTGGATAAGATGTATAAAAATATTTCTCTAACTCATTATATTTCTATGACATATATCATAGCAATATCGGTATTTAAACATTTTTAAGTATCGATATTTCGCATAATATTAATTCGTTAAAAAATATTCCTATACTGTATATATCTTTACCTGTTCGAAGAGATGTAATTCCGCCAGTAATGTGTAGGATATGTAGATATATCGTGCGTCGTCAAACGTTTTTCGGGCACGTACCCCCCGAGGGTAGTAACCCTGTAGGGTGGCACGCCCCCCGGGCCAGGTGCCCCCCCTGGGTGCACCCCCACGGTAATCCACCGTAATTACGTACCCCAAAGTCTCCTCATCACCCCACTGTCACTCTCGGATAATTTGTCTCTGGAGAACGTTCGACAATTCTCTTCTACCTGTTCACTTTCGACGCTCCGAGCAAGGAACATCTCGATGCACTTCGTGTCAACCCACCACTATCTTCGCTCATGTCGATTTTTCGCATAGTTCGTGGGAACATTTTTGTCCCGACAATATTATCTACTTCAGAGTTTCATTAAAATTTTCACAATACGTTGTGTTAATTGAATTCACTCATAATGTCAGGATAAATCGCACGAACTTTGGCGAGGTAATTTATCTTCTTCATTTTCCTAATACTGTGACAACAATTTGCAATGTTTCTATTACAAAAATAATTTCTCTCCAAGATTTGTTTAGTGGAAACGCGAAAGTGTATAAATGGCTGAACACATTATTCTGAAAATATTATATAAATTAAAAAAAAGATAATTTTATATTAGTGTGTCTATTTTCTTATCAGTATCTATTTTCTTGTTACATCTACGAATTCTAATTACTGAGTAATAAAATTTAAATATTTCTAAAAATGTAATGATCGTAAAACGTAATAAATCCACGCAATGTTCTGTTTAATTAAATAATGCTTTAAGATCGTTATTTAAATAATTGCAATTTAATCGCTCTAGCGGAACTCGAACATTAAATTGTAATACATGATCAACTTCTCTCTTCCTCTCTCTATATACCTACATACGTATATACATATATACTGTACGTATTATATGTTACTTTATCATCAACGCTAGTTTGGAATCGGGTAAACTTTGACACCGCTGCGAGACATTTCCTTTGTGTTGCAACGTGGGCGTAAATTGAATCCAACGTTGGTTACGTGGAGCAATGAATTTATGCAAAGCAGTTTAAATATCCGGCTAATACAATTCTATATAATTCATGGTCAGAATCACATTAGAAGCTCTATGCGGTTCGAGCTAATTCATAACTGAATAACTCCACTATTAATTCATTACTATCCACAGAAAGCGGAATACGCCATATTTTGCCAAAAACAGGATACGCCGGTACATAATTAAGAAATTGTGAATTTATAGATATTGCACAACGTTCAAAGAAAAAGTCTTAATTTGGTATTTTACATAAAGTTCCCGGAGCTCAAAATATCGATTTTATCTTGTTAATTATTTGCCGATACTACAATTTCCTAAGTGCCGTAATGAAAGTTTTATTTCCGCTCGGTAACATCTGTATGCAGTGTAAATTCATATAGTGTCTACAATTAATGGAACTTCTTCGTTGCAAAAGGAATATGGACAGAAACAAGTGCAGCCTGGCATTTACATAAATGTTACATATTCTATTTCCTCCTATAGCGGATACACGCTACAGAAACACCTAGACGGAAACTTTTGGGAAAGTTTCGCGAAGCTTCAATGAATTTTAAGAGAACACAGCTTCGACCGGTTTGCTTTAAAGCCTCTCGAAACTACCCTGACAGTTTTAACTAATATTTAGCTATATATTTTTCGATAAAAAAAAAAATACTGACAGATTTCCAGCGTTAAGTTTTAAAATAAGTGCAATCGCAAAGGAAATTTCAATTGATAAAATATAGTTAAAACATAATTTATTAAATGTTCGTAAAATTTAACGCACGTGATACGTACGTCAGTTTACGTATTCTCGTGAGGCAAACAAAGAATAAAATATAAAAATGCTCGTTACTCGGAGAAAAGTAACTGGTGTTTATTTTAGATATAGACCACATTCAGAAACCAGGAGATTGTACTCTTAGACGGGAGTAGAGCAAATACATCAGAAAACAGAAACCCTCCAGTTCTTCGCATGTGATATGTACGAGATGGAATAATTTACACATATTGTACATGCGTTACAGAAGTTTTCTTGAAAGAAAATCATTTCATTCTCTAGAAATGGTAAACACATACTTTAAACAAATCAGAAATTTTTATATCTATGCGTTTTCTGTTTCTCGTTATTAAACCCCGTCATTTTCTTAATATAAAAGCGTTTAAGTTTCGACAATTTATCATTAATAATAATAATAGAAATTAAATAATTTTCAGTTAGTGTCATTATAATCATTATAATAAAAATCAAGAAAATATTTAATGGTATTTACAAATAAAATTATTGAAAGACAGAAAAATATTAAATTTGATGACAAATCATCCCGAGTGCTCGCGATCGTATGCACGATAGGTGGAAGTAGTACAACCTCCATCTCGTTATCGAATCAGTGACGCGTGTCCGGTTTCTCGGCGACAAGTTGCGGGTGAAATGTGTCGCACACTTTATCGGATTAGAAAGCACGCCATCGAGTGTGATCGGGCCCGATCGAAATAAAATATACGGCGCGAGAGAAGAAGGCGAGGAATGAATAATGCATACGACGGGTGAACCAGCTTGTGGTAAGTAACGAGGCGGATTTGTAAAGCAGTTTCGCGTCCAGCGGCTTAACTCCCCCCCTCCCGCACTTCCTCGATGAACCGAGAGTAATTTACTTGCTTCGTTTGGGTCGCGGTAAAACGGAATTCCTTGATATCCGGGTTACGATCGTGAAATTAAAATAAATGTGCCTGCGGTACCCGCGGTCTCTTTTTCTATTGACACTTTTCGTCCATCTTTGCTTGCGCTGAGAAAAAATTGTCTTCAGTTTTATTCCATCTCGAAAAGAATCTGTTTCGAGTGCATACCATTTAGAAGCTCTTCAGTCGTTGTCGCGTTTCCTGTTTAGGACCAAGCACAAACAAGATCGTGGTGCCGATAACGATGCCACGATAAAAACTCCGAGGGGCCGCGCGTTTTCATGTAAATTAATGGAATCAGGTGAATTTAAATGGAAGAAGTTTGAAAATACATTTCAAGATATTGCAGTGAAAACAACAGAAAGATAAGTAACAATTTAATTAATTGACTGGTGCAACTTGGATACAATAAGTTTATCGATTTACACAAATCGTTTATATTATGTTGTAATAATCACAAAAAATGAAAGATGAGAAAAAGAGAAAGAGAAATATACTGCAAATCCATTCGTATTGTCTTTTTACAAGAAATAAGTGATATAAAAATTAATGATAATTAGGATACTTCTTCCGAAATGTGAAATCAACGATTTCGCAAATCTTCAGGTCATATTCCTATATATATTTTTTAAATTTCAAATTAAAAAGAAATTTTACTTCATCAAATAAGTTTAAATGGGAATTCTTTTCAAGTATTTTAATCTAAAGAATTTTCAAAGTCTTAAAAAAGTATAATTTTCATCTCAGATTAATAACCATCTTTTCAATAAAATGCAAAAGAACTATAAAACTTTAAAGGAATTTGTGAAAGGAATTTTCAATGTCCTTTTATGAAATTTTTTAAACAAAAAAAATCAAAAAGATGCAGGTCAGTATTAAATTAATTTTTATTTATTTACATAAGATTAAATTTTCGGAGCATACAAAGTGAGCATACAAGATTTTATAAACGCTCATTCTTGATATTTGAAGAGAATTTAATCTCTTTTACTATATACAAACAATTAATTAAAAAATAAAATAAATAAAAAAGAAAATAAATTAAGCGAAAATACCTGTATCTTTATGTCATTATGAATAAAATTAGGTAATAGTTATAACTACTATAAATATTGAAAACCATTTTCATTGCATTTACGATTATGTAATTCGCCTATCGATTCAGGAGAAGCGTGATTTGTATCTTGGGAAGCTTCATCGGCCGGTAGTCTCACTTATATCGCAAATCGGAGAAGTGGTCTCGGGAATCTCGGTTAACACACGAGGGGGACACGGGGGGGACGGTAATGCCGCTAGTAGCAGTACACATTGGCGGTAATGGTAGTAGTTACTGACTGTTGCTGGGAGGCTGATGGAGAAACGAGTGTACAGACGTCGAGTGGTCGGTACCGAAACCGGAGTGGGTGTAGGGAGGAAATGGCGGTAACGGGGGAGGGGGGAGGGGGGTTAAGCGGCTTGCGGACGATTAGAGAGCGCCGCAGCAGCCATCGTTACGCTCTGACTTCATCCCCGTCGCCGATCAAAACTCAGCTACCTCGCGGAACAGTTAAATGCAAAGTACTCCCTTTATCCATCCATTCGGCTCTCCGCTGTCGGTACACCTTGCTTTTTTTGCGTCCTTCGGGATATCGCTAAATGCTTTCGACACGACGATGAGACACCGCGCTAATGTGGACCACTCGCGTGGTTATCGATCGCGGTGCTATCGAAGACACGCAGAATGTCTGGTGTTAATCGTCCCTTAAAAGCCCGTCTATTTCTCAGCGAACGTTTGCGTTGAAAGAGCATTTTATCATATGTCTTTGCAAGGATGGAACTTTTGAATAATTTGATGATTACATCACAAAAATAAAGTTCTTCTATTAAAGTAAAATAAAATCACACATTTTTCTGCGTATGAAACATTATTTACGTTACTGGAAAATTCGATAACGATAATTATTTCGAAGAACGATGCGTTATATATTTGTAAATACGATAAGACTGTAATCGTGTAATCTTTGCATTACGTGCAGACGCGACTTTATTGCATTTTATTACATATTGCGATCGCAATTCTAAAACATCACACGGAATCGTGGCTACTAAAAAGTCGGCTTCCATTTGCAATAATAACTATAGATAAATATCATTGGACTTGTCAACCGATCGATTGTATCGGAGTTACGCTATGAACGACAAGCTGACCTTCTTCGTGAACATTGAGTTTCTGTCCTTGCAAAGGTTATCTGGTGAAATACATCGGATCGAAACACGACCACATCGGATATGAAACTTCCTCTTTGAGATGATGGAGCCATATTCGTCGCCAGCAAACACTCCAAACTTCAACGACTAAACTTAAAAAAGGCTACAAGGGTGAATCGAATGTTTAGTTGTATGACTAAATAAATACTGACATATTTCTTTCGATTTTATTTATGCACATTTTAAGTTAATTTATTTCAAGTTATTATGCAGTAGAATTTATATCCAAAACAGAGAATCGAAATATATAGATAATCTGTTTTTTATATAATTAAACAATCATGTTTGAATTATTTTAATATAAAAACAATGCAAATTACATAATTTAAGTGCAACAAAAATATTAAAACCATAATTTATAATTCTCTTTGTTCTACTCTCTTAGTCCATCCTTTAATCTACTAGTATATATGAATGTATATAGTATATATGGATGTATATAGTATATCGTATAATATATCTGCTAGCTAGTATATATAGTATATCTGCTAGCAACTGGGGATGTTACTTTCTAATTAGAGCACAGGTACTAGCATTAAAAGACCAGTTCAGATGATAGAAACTCTAGTGTATTATTAAAATCATTACTAAAGTTAACTATTAATTATTACTTTCAAAATAAATTAATTGCTCCGAAACATT